TATACACAGTTTGACTGTACCTTGGGTGGTTACTATACACAGGTTTGATTGTCCCTTGGGTGGTTGCTATACACAGATTTGACTGTCCCTTGGATGGTTGCTATACACAGGTTTAACTGTACCTTGGGTGGTTGCTATACACAGGTTTGATTGTCCCTTGGATGGTTGCTATACACAGGTTTGACTGTACCTTGGGTGGTTACTATACACAGTTTTAACTGTACCTTGGGTGGTTGCTATACACAGGTTTGACTGTCCCTTGGATGGTTGCTATACACAGGTTTGACTGTACCTTGGGTGGTTACTATACACAGTTTTAACTGTACCTTGGGTGGTTGCTATACACAGGTTTGACTGTCCCTTGGATGGTTGCTATACACAGGTTTGACTGTACCTTGGGTGGTTACTATACACAGGTTTGACTGTCCCTTGGATGGTTGCTATACACAGGTTTAACTGTACCTTGGGTGGTTGCTATACACAGGTTTGATTGTCCCTTGGATGGTTGCTATACACAGGTTTGACTGTACCTTGGGTAATTGCTATACACAGGTTTGACTGTCCCTTGGGTGGTTGCTATACACAGGTTTGACTGTACCTTGGGTGGTTACTATACACAGGTTTAACTGTACCTTGGGTGGTTGCTATACACAGGTTTGACTGTCCCTTGGGTAATTGCTATACACAGGTTTGACTGTTCCGTGAATGGTCACTATACACAGGTTTGACTGTCTTTTGGATGGTTGCTATACACAGGTTTGACTGTTCCTTGGATGGTTGCTATACACAGGTTTGACTGTACCTTGGGTAATTGCTATACACAAGTTTGACTGTTCCTTGAGTGATCACTATACACAGGTTTGACTGTCCAATTGGGTGGTCACTACAGGTTTGATTGTCCATTCGGGTGGTTACTATACACAGGTTTGACTGTTCCTTGAGTGGTCACTATACACAGGTTTGACTGTACCTTCAGGTGGTCACTATACACAGGTTTGACTTCCCTTCAGGTGGTCACTATACACAGGTTTGACTGTCCAATTGGGCGGTCACTACAGGTTTGACTGTCCCTTCTGGTGGTTACTATACACAGGTATGACTGTTCCTTGAGTGGTCACTCAATCTGATTAAAATCTGATGTAGTGTACGGGCTTTAATTATTTTGGCTATAAACTTATTTTAATTTTAATTTTTATTACTTTTGTTATTAATGCCATTTTATTTTATTTTATTTTATTTTATTTTATTTTATTTTATTTTACTTTGATTTTGATTTTGTGATTTTTTTAATTCCGCCCTACCTACATCTGAGCCGATGCCTATGTAACGAGATTTCAACGAGACCCACTATCGACGATTTTAGTCAACGAATCACATACCTCCTTCTATAGCGCACATGATGACGT